GATGCAGGAGGCAGAGCAGGGAGGAGAGGCATGGCAGCTCAAGGCCAACACAGGGCAGCCTCTCCCTGAGCATCCCCTCTTTGGTTTAATCCATCCCCACAGTGAAGAGGTAATGACTCTGGTGGGAAAATGTAACAAAATATTAAGCCATCGGTTCTCATTCGTATGAGGCCTCACCTCAGGAAGCTGTGTAACTGCTGCCAAATAAACCCTTGTCTCATTGCCCCTCTGAAGCCAGCCTGCTCGCATCTGAAAATTAACATGTGGGACCTGTGTGCAGGGCGGAGGTGAGTTTCAGATGGCCACAAGGCACTTCAATGGTTTTAGAATAACTGTAGAAGTCGTTAATGGTAACACATACAGCAGTGGTGGTGCACGGAGACGGTCTCACTGGCAGGAGTTGGGGCAGCTCTGCTCCTGTCTGCTCTGCTGTCCCCTGTCCCAGCTCAAAGCCTCTCCAATGGGAGGAACAAAGGAAATATTCAGTGATAGGTCCCCAAAGATGGCACTTCTATGATCTCGGTTGTCACTCCAGAAGTGAGGATGTAGTTACCCTTAAATGTGTGTTTAGTCACTCCCTGTTAAAGCCAAAGGCATGGTGGTGATGGGTTGATGGTTGGACAGATGATCTTAGTGGTCTTTTCTGGCCTTAATGATTCTATGGATCTAAACACTTCTCAGCTAGAGGTGGAATTGAGTATGCATATCTATGCAGGGCCCCTTTTCCCACCAAGGCCTCCAAAGTTGAAGCAGTTGCCAAGGACTCAAAGGTGGCACGTGAAGTCTCAGCACTGCACCCTGAGAGCGTGTGAGCCACAACATTGCTGTGCTGGCAAAGCACAGCCAAGCAATATGCAACACATCTGGAGCCAAATGCAATGATACATTTTGAGAACATGGAGTACATGTTATCCTTAGGGCATATATGTATTTATCAGCTTCTCCCAAAATCTATAGTGCATGAAATATAACTGCAGCAGAGATACTTGGATCGACATGTAGACCTTAAGTAACTTTTCACTAATGCTAAAATCCCCCAGATCCTGTTCTTTGGCAGCAGCAAGTCCTCAGACAGCTCTCTAGTAAGTCATTAAACGTGTTGCAACTTAACTGGCAAGTAAACAGCTGACCACAAGCTGCAGAGTCAAAACTACTGCTCGTGCAAAGAGGAGGGATGCAATTAGAGATGCACATTGATTGAGATCAACCCCCGTTGACATCCCCACTGTGTAAGGAAACATCTCCAAATGTAACTCTTAAAGCATAACAAGCAGTTTTATTGGAGTCAATGCGGCCATCCCAGTTGTCGCAAACAGGGCTATAATTATTTTTAAAGACCTAAGAGAATTAAACTAAGTCTTACCACCCTCCACAAAACTTTGTTTGTTTGTGTTTGTTTGTTGTGGGTGATCCCTGCTTTGCAGCTTGTTAGCGGCGTGTCACCAGGGGATAAACACAACCACACACAAAATCTCTTTCCCCGAAGTCTTCTTCAAAGTCTTGCATGCTCTGCCCACTGCTGTTAACTGGTGATGTACACAACTGCTGCTGCTTTTGTTGTTCTTCAATAAATGCCACCGTTAATAATTGGGAACGCATAAAATATTGAGCTTATTTATTACTTAAAGATGACAATAATGTTAAGTTTGATGACTGAAAGGAGTGAAGGAGTTTCCTCACCACAGAAAGTCCTTTCTGTGCTCCATCTCACCACCAAGATCAGAACGTACCACTCTCTTTGTCCAGGGAGAAACCAGGTCTATCATCAGTGCTTCAGAGCACCGGAGCAGCTCTGCCCTTTCCTTCACTGGCCGGGATGGGGATGGCCTTGGGTCCCATCCTGCTGCTCTCATCATAAATTTGGGGAGGGGGGAATCCTTTCCATCTTGCTTCAGCGGGGAATAGGAGAGGAGTGAAGCGCTGGAAATATGACCAGCTTTGAATGGATGATCTTGCAAGTCTGACTCACAGCAATCCCCTAGCAGAGTGAATGAGAGGGCTGCTGGACTAGGATTAAAAGGGAAAAATTCGGTATTGAGTGCCTTCCCCCCATATGGTTAGGACTGCCTTGGGAAGGACAACATTTTCCAAACAATTTGTCATTTTTTTTTTTACTTCTGAGCTCTCCTTTCCATTTGGCTCCAAAGCAAATGTGCGTGCACAGAAAGAATCTTATTCCTTTACAATCTGCCTCTTCTGGGAAGTTTAGAAATGTTAGAATCCATTCATGTTCCAAACATCCCCATTTCTCCCAGAGAAGCTGTGCAGCCTCCTGGACACTTTTCCAAAGATGCACTAACGGAGCATGAATAAAGGAACAGGCAATCTTGGAGAGCCATTTCTTTGCTATATTTGGAAATAAAGAGAGACTTTAATGAATGTTTGTAATGATGAAAGTAAGCACTTACAAGGGGTTCCTTTGTTTGCATAGGAGCAATTTGTAGCACCACACTTGGTTTTGGAAACAAGCCTTTGGGAAGCAGCTTGGGTTGGTCTAGAGACGATCTGATGCTCTTTTGGCCTGCAGCAGGAGTTCACCTGGCAATAAGGTGCCCAGCAGCAGGTTAAACTTTCCATCAGCCCCCAGCAACCCTGCCAGCATCTACCCCCATGTACTTTTGGCATCTGAATCCACCTGATGTCTTCTCTAAGAGGGAAGCCTTATGATGTCCATCTTTTAAACCCACAGGCACGGTGTCTCATTCATGCATCTTCAGATCAAGCACAAAAGAAATGACAAGCCTTGGGCACCTACAAATGGATGCTTGCTTATTTCAGGTACCACATTCCAGAGCTCACTCCCACATCTTGCCTCAAAGGTAAGTGTATTTTCTAGTACCTGGAGCCTGTTGTTAGTGCATGGCCAGAGGCATCTCAGCCTTGCTGAGCTATCTGAGCCTCATTCTACCTCTATGGGGGCTCAGTCATGCTTCCAGCCCACTCATACCCAGCAAGTATCATCTCCTAGGCAAGGAGAAATGGAATCTCTTTACAACACGTGCATCTGCACGTTTGTTTGTTGCAGGAAAAGGGTCCCAGCAGCCCTGAACTATGCTGAACGTGGGTAGGAAGTCTTTGCCTTTTGCCGTGTTCATCTGTCCATAGCCACCACACAAAACCTCGTGGTCGTTCAGTGTCCTGGAGTAGTTTCCTCAGCTCCCACTGGAAGACCCGGGCAAAGCCTTTCCCAGTGCCAGCCCTCCACCAAGCCTCCTTGACCCTGCACAGGGAACATTGGGGCCATCTGTAGAGGGACAGGGGGCATCTCACCCACACTTCTCAGGCACTCAGACAGCCAGGGAAGCTCCCTCCATCCTCAGCATGTAAACATCTGCTGGAGGAAGACTTATTCTCCTAATAACACATCATTAAACATTGATTTAAAGACAATCGTCTTCCCTCTCTTTAATTTCACAGCACCTTTAAAACAGCTGTTAGGCTGCAGTGGGGACGATCAGCCCAACAGGAAACGCATTGTTAGCTCCTCACATTAAAACAGTAGAATGCATTAATTTATGAGCTCCTACTCGCTCTCCAAACGTTTTATTATGTTAATATCACCTTGACGTGCTGGTAGGCCCCAGTGCCAAAGCCTCTTTCACACAGTATGTGCCATCCTAAATTACAGGCTGGGCGCCTCCTGGAACTGCCTTTGGAAAACTGGAGTAAACCAGCAAGCACTAAAGTTAATATTATCTTACAGACTAACAACCAGCTAATGCTCGACATGTGAATCCCATTTACTTCTTCTCTCTATAACAAATGGCAAGTGTGGGACCGGACTGTTCCTGATTTTATGCTATTTATCTTTCTGATCCATTCCATATTCGTTGTCCTTGGTTTTCGGCTATGACTACAGACTGGGTGTACGTGCATGTGTATCCCTCTGTCCTTAGCAAAGCACAAGCCATGTCCCCACTGTAGTGCTTGCCTGGTCCCTGCACGATTGGATGCTGCTCCCTTCAGAATGATCCATTAGGCTCTCCAAAACCCAAGAGGGGGGCACATACTGGGAGCAAAGCATCTGAAACTTCAAAACATTCACTTGAAAATTAAAATGGATAAAGGGGTCTGGGGAGGGATGTAGGGCTGTTGGGGAAGCGCAGCATTCCAGACCCATGCAACTCATCCCTGCAACCCTGCGGCCTCCCTTCAGCCTCTGCTCCAGCTCTGTTTGCTGCCTCACCTCCATACCAAACACTGCAGCAGGAGCGTTTCCTCAGGGCTTCTCTCTGGGGGAAAAATTAAAGAAAAAAAAAAAAGTGGCCACTGCTTTCCCTGCCCCCTCAGCCGAAGAAAACCAGCCGGGAGGAAATGAAGAGGGCAGGGGCCGTGGAACCTTGAGCACGGAGCCGCCCGGGGAGCAGCACCGAGCCGCCGGCGGTGGGGCGGGGGGGCCCGACCCGGGATGCCGCTGCCGCGGGACGGAGATGCAGGACCCGGGGCTGCGGGTTCCGCCGTTCTCCCGGTGCGGCCGGCCCTGCCCCCGGCCCTCCCCCGTGTGCGGCACCCTGGGACGGGGCTGACGTCAGGAGGAGACGGGGAAATCTCCGAAGAAAACCCTGGAGCGGCGGGCAGGGCGCTCAGAGCGCCCGCCGGGCCCGGCACCCCGCAGCGCCCGGTAAGTGCTCCGGGACGGCCCCACGCGCGTCCCCGCGTTCCCGACCCCCCCACGCGCGTCTCCCCGCGTCCCGCACGGTCGGCCCCGAGCTCCCGTCCCTCCTCCCCTCGTGCGCTACGAGCCGCGTTCCCCCCCCCCCCCCCACGCGCGTCCCTCGGGTCTCGTCCTGGCCCCGTTTTCCCCTCTCCGGAGGTGCGGAGCGTTGCGGGGCCGCGCGGTTCGGACCGGCAAACAAAGCGGGGCCGGGCCGGGTCGAGGGAAGGGGGGGGGGGGTTGCGCCCCTCACCGCTCCGCGTCGCCGCCCGCCCCGCAGCTCTGCGCCCCGCGCACGGCCGCGGCCCCTGGCATCGTTCTAGCGCGTAAATTCTTTTCAGGGCCTCTGCGCTTCGTCAGCACTGACAAATACGCATGGAAACGTAATTCCAAAAGGGTTACCTCATTTTATTTCAGATTTTTGTCGCCGTCGTTGTTGTTGTGTTATTATCATTTTATCGTAAGCGCACCGTTTTCAGCTCCGAGTTCTTCTCCTGAGCAGCGCCGAGCGAAGGACGGTCCCTACCATAGGATGGGGCGGCCGGATCGGGGCCCCTGGGGTGGCCGGGGATGGCAGCACGGAGGGGCTGAGTCGGGACAGGTGGAGGGATGGGGGGCACGGGGAGCTGCGTGGGGCTCAGCCGGGCAAGAGAAGCGGGCGGAGAGAGTCTGGCTGCCGTTCAATTAATTCCCTGTTCGGAAAAAGAATATTCTTCCTTTCCCCTGCTTTTTTTTTTTTTTTTCCACTTTGTGTGTGTTATTATTTATTATTATTATTATTATTATTATTACTATTTACATTCTGATTGGAAAAAATGGACACACCTTTAGGAACCCCCACTCTCCAGCAATGTCCCGCAACTCCTCTCCGTCCAACGGGGGCGAAATTCTCGGAGCGGTGGAAAAAGGCTTTTTTTTCCTCGTGTTAACTCCGTTGAATGGACGCGCGGAGTTCCCCCCCGACGGTACCTTTAGAAGAATTTTCAGGTGTCGCGTAAAAGAACGTCCCTAAGAGCGTTTCCTGTTATTTCGTCCTTATTTCTTAACCTCGCTGTAAGCGAACACAAACGCCGAGACACGAATTGAACCAAAAAAATAATAATAATAAAATTTAAAAAAATACAGTGCGGATAGCGAGGGCCGAGACGCCGTTTGCTTATTTCCTAACAGTCTTAAAATACGTGATTTCTGCCTTCCAACCCAAGGGATGCTTTCCCTGCGCCTGTGAGCTAAAACCCGGCTTCCAAATAATTGCTGAGAGCTTCTTCTCTTGGAGAACGTTCCCAAAATCCTTCTGGTGCCTGAATTACTGGCCGAGTCCTGGAGATCGCGAGCCGGAGCGGTGGCACCGTTCCCCGGACGCGGTTTAGCCGAACGAAACCCTGAGCAGGACAGAGATTTCCCCCCGACAGCCGCCGCCGAACGGCTCCGAGCCTCTCCTTTACTATCGGTTTTATTGTTCGAGCGGATTTCATTGTGAAATCGTGTATTTCTCGGGCTCTGTCCTCCTTACCGGGTGGAAAGAAGAGCGCGTTCCTCGGAGAAAATCACTGCGGGTTGAACGGTGCGTTATTTCCCACCCCCGTCCCGAGCAGCCCGCATAGATGCTGCTTTTAAATAACAAAAGGGGAGGAGAAAACATTCTCTAGTAAAGCCGAATTCCTTCGTTAGACCGCCTCCTAAACGTGCTAATAAAACTAATTCGTTTTATTTGCCCTGAACTTTTATATCTTGCCCCGTGCGCTGATTAGCGCAGCCCTCTGGAAGGCGGTGGTGTTCTCCTATCTCTCGTTCAGATGTGCCCGTTAAGATACGGCCGTTCCCACAGTGAAACTGGGAAGAAAATTGTCCCCGTTCCTCATCGAGGGGCAGCGCAGAGCCTTTGTGGGAGGAAAAATAAGAAAAGGGGGAAAAAAAGAATGGGAGGGAAAGAAAAGAAAATAGAAGAGAGGGTGCTGAATGCACACAAAGGTGAATTGTTTCTCCGATTTTGCTTTTTAAGGCAGGAAACGTGTGGCTCTGCAGAGATTCACGGCTGTTCTGAGAACATTAAAGCGCGTTCAGCCCTTCAGGAAATGTTCTGTTTAGGGGAAATGCGTTCCCCCCATCCAAATGCTGCAGCAATTAAGAGGTTGCTCGCCCGAAACAAGGTGAGGGAAACCCACAAGGAAACGTAGCATCGGTGGTAACAAATGCGGCCCCTTTTCCCGCAGAAGAACGATCTTAATAAAATGCCAACGGAGTGCCCGGTCCTTAGATTACCCTGCACCAGAGGCATCCGTTTTTAGTCCACAAACCAAACCTATTTCGGACCTAAAGATGCACAGAGTAACATGAGCAGGCTGCCTTGCAAGCGCCGGTGCCCCTTCCTCCATCAATTAATAAGAAAAGCATGTTCCCTCTGCTCGGAGAGGGAACTGTGGGACTATAATACGGCCTTTTCCCCCTTTCTTCCCCCTCCCTACTGAGAGAAGCAGCCTCCGCACCCCGAGCTGTCCATCCTCTGGCGGTGGCATTGCTGATCCCACTCTGCGGACAACCAGGACTAAACTCGAGCCGCTGCTGACAGCGGTTTTGCTCAGAGCGTGGCTCGGTGCTCGTGGTCTGAGGGATGCAGAGAGGGCCACGGAACAGAGCCAGAGCGGGGCTGTGCCCAACGGCACTTGGGAAAAACGGAGTTATCCCAGGAGATGGTCTAATTTTCGGGACTGGAGGGCCGAGGAGACCCCCCCACACACACACCCCGTTTGCTTCCAGCTGCAGAAACCCGAATAGGAAAACTCTTTCTCCTCCCGTCATTCGCCGCGTTTTAAGAAAGCCTTGGGGTATCATTTGTATCTGTCAGAAAACATTAAGCCTTCAACTTTTTCATCCCGACTTTTTGGAAGCGCTGCCGTTGGCCGCCTGCGCCTGGGGCAGCCCCGGGCCGATGGGGGTCCAAGCGCAGAGGGGCACCGGGAGGCACCGGGATGCGCCGGCTGTCACGGGCCGAATGCCACCAAAACATTCCGTTTCCCCCTCTCTGGTAAAAAATATATATAGAGATATACATCAGTTTCCCCCCGAAAATTGTGCTTTCCCCACTGGGTTTGAACAGCGGTGGGGCAGGGCCGGCCGGGTCGAGATGAGCGCGGTGCCCCGAGGGCAAATCTCGGGGAGTAACGGGGGGCTCCGGGAGGCCGGGGGTGGCAGGGACGGCCGGGGGAACCCTGAGCGCCCGCGGAGCCGGAGATTGGCTGTGCCGAACGGGGCTGCAGATCCAAAAGGGACTGATCTCGTTTTGCTCAACTTCTTAGGAAAATCGCTCTCCTGGCTGCGTAGAGGACAGGCCGGCTAGAAGCCAGCGTAATTTTCCACCTTCCTACCCTGAGCGATTTAACATGCTTTCTCGGCTGGGATTCTTCCCCCTCTCCGCTTCCCTCTGCCCGCTCGTGGGCACCCGAGGGGGACCCGGTTCGGACGGGGTGGCCGCAGAGCTGTTCGTGTCGGGGCTCGTTTCGTGCTTGCCGTTTTTTGGGGACTGCTCGGTTAGAGCCATGCTGGCGGGGGCGTTCACAGCCCCAACAAGATGGTGCTGAGCTTTTCCTTGCTCTGGGGCGTACACTCGGGTCTCTGCTTGGCTCTGTTAAGGTGATGCTGCTTGGGCAGGACCCACGGGACGTGGAACCGACGGACACCACCCCCGTTACTCTGCGACAGCGAACTCCGTCCCACCGGAGCGGTCCCAGCTCCGCGGGACACCGCGCAATCCGCGCATACTGTGTGTATCTCCCCTGCCTACTTGCTCCCAACCCAGAACCACGCAGCAAAGGATTGACAAGGGCCGGAGGCTAATAATCGCTTATCTACTCATGCGAGGGGCATTTTCACCGTCGGGGAGTTTTAAAAATGCCCCTGTCACAGCGCAGCCGGCTATGCACACAGAGGAGCTGTGCGTTTCCAGCAGTTGTCACCTCCCTGCCGGTGTCTCCTGCTTCAGTCAGTGGCGGTGGCCCTTCACCACCCCCCGCACCTTCAGCCGGGCACTCTGGGGAGGGTTTTATTATAGATAATGTTTTCCTGCAGCCAACTCCCTTCTACGGGGCTCGGGGAAGGGTCGCCAGGGTGAAGGTTGGCTGGTTTGCCTTGGCTTTGCTTGGGCTTGTTTTGACTGACTTTGCTTTGGATGAGTTTGGCTGGCTTGTGTTTAGATGGAATTGGTTTGGTTTCGTTTGGTTTCGTTTGGTTTCGTTTGGTTTGGTTTGGTTTGGTTTGGTTTGGTTTGATTTGGTTTGGTTTGGTCTGGTTTGGTTTGGTTTGGTTTGATTTGGTTGCATTCAACTGAGTTGGTTTGGGTTGGCTGGGCTTGGGTTGGATTGGGTTGAGTTGGACTTGGTTGAGGAATGTCTCCCTTATCCCTTGCCTCACTGCTGCTATTTTCATTGTTTTGCATTTGTTTGTTTGTTTATTTGTTTATTTTGGGAGGGTTTCCCTCTCCTCTCGGACAGAGGTGCACTTGGGAGGAGACGCTTTCATTTTCGTAACGATTCCCAATAATTTATAGACTGAATCTGAGTCCATACAATGCTAATAAATCTGAAGAGGAAAAGCTGGCGGAGACTTCTTAACTTCGCTGCCTGATATACGGCCCAGGTGGTTTTGTGTTGGCTACAAAAGCGGCCGCCAGCCGGGGATGGGAGCTCCTTTCCAAAAGTAGGAAAGCTCCTGCAGGGTCTCTGGCGTAGGACTCGTTCCGGGATGATGGGGAGGGACTGTGGGCCCCTCTGAGACCACTGGGTGATTCTCCAGTTTGGTCTTTTCTCGTCCTCTTCTCAACTGAGTTACAACTGGCGTGGCCAACTCCAGTTTATTCATAAGAGCCGCGGCTCGTTCTTGCATTATTTATGGCAGGAGGAAAGGAGCTGTGTATTTGCGACCCTGCAGCCCTGGGCCGGGGGAGTCCCGGCTGCGTGGGCCCCGGGTCCGGCTCGGGCCGGCACTGCGAGGAATTTTCCCAAGCAAAATCACCACGGCCCCCGGCCCCAGTCCTCCACGGCCCTTCCCACACCCACGAGGGTCACGGCTCCCTCAGGGGGTGTCCCCACAGGGACGGGTGGGAGGCTGCCCCGTGGCTTCGGCCTCGCTTCCCTTCTTCCAGCATCAAAAGATGCAAGGCGTGACGTCAGGGAAACGGAGCGTGACGTCACGCGGGGGTGACCGTGACGTAATGCCTAAAGGAGAGGGATGCAGAGAAGGGATGTTCCCGGCACCTGAAACGGAGCGGGCCTGGGTGGGGAAAAAGGAAAAAATGCAAATGTGGGGAGGACCGGTTTGTCCCGACAATGTGTCGTTCTGATAGAACGGGAGGAGACGGCTCTGTGTGACAGGAACCCTCCCAGCTCCTAAAGAGCAGAGCAAGAAAGCGCCCTGAGTCCCACATACGACATACATAAGGTGTTTGTAAGACATGCATAAGGCGTATATAAGACATACAGAAGGCACGTACAAGGCATAAAACAAACACGTATCTCCATGTGTGATACTCCGGATCCGTGTACAGATGGGCAGTGAACGCCTGATCATGGCCCGGGCATGGACACGCATGGAGAGAAGGGCAGGATGCCGGGCAGGGCACGGAGCCCTTCTCCACCCCCCACCCCCCCCGCCGGGCCCATGCCCCAGGGACGCCCTCAGAGGAAGAACGCTATCCCAGGAAAAGCCTCTGCGTCCTGGCTGAGTCTTTCTCTGAGCCCAGCCGAGGGATTTGATCCTAGAACGAATTTTGAAAATGTGTTTTATAGAGCAGAACTAAAAGTGAAAATTGGGCTGAGGGTAAAAAAAAAAAAAAAAAAAAAAAAAAGAAAAAAAAGAAAGAAAGAAAAAAGAAAAAAAAGAAATAAAAAAATGAAGAAAAAAGGAAGAAGGAAAAAAAAATAAAAGAAAAAGAAAAGAAAAAGAAGGAAAAATCCCGCCTCCGGTTTTCAAGCTGCTGTGAGCAGTGGGTTTAAAATAGCCGGAGCAGAGCAGCCGGGCTGTTGGCAGCCGCCCTCCAGCGCAGCAATCCTGGCTCCAGCCGAGAGCTCCCGGAGAGCTGCCCGGGGCTGCCCCTCTTCCGGCCCCGCAGAAATTCAAATAATAATAATAATTTAAAAATAAATAAAAACGAAAGAAAAAGCAAGGAGGGGACTGTGCAATGTTTCGGCTGCGGAGCTGGAAAAGAAAAGAAAGAAAATGGATAGAGACCTGAGCGTGACAGCACCTACCTGTCCACACCCTGAGCTGCAAAAGGCTTTGGAGATCAGAGGTTCAGAGCCGGACGCAACAGCCCGGTGAGAGAGGAAAAAAGCCCGCACTGCAGCATTGCTCCACTCCACTTTCCATAAAACAGTTCAAAAGTTCTCTCCCACATCTTTACTTGATTTGAAAGCAAAATAGAGTGTCAGGATGGATCAGTTAAAGGGGGCCGAGAAAATAAAGAGGAGAGAACGTCCCTTCCACGGGCAGAGAGCAGCCGAGATCCCCTCGCATCCCCTCGCCCTGTCCCCCAGATCACCGCTGCTGCCCTTCAGCGAGTGAAAAAAAAAGAAGTGTTAGAAAGGGATAAAACCGAATCAGACACAAATCCCTGGGGGCCGTTCCCAGGGCAACCCCCGCAGCTCGGAGGGATCCGTTCTCCGCGGGACTCAAACTCGCCGTGGGGTCGCTGCGCGGGGTGCGCAGCTTGCGCGGACAGGAGGCTCGGGGGGGGTGGGGGGAGGGAAGGGGAGGAAGGGGGATGTGCGCGGAGATGCGCACGGGAACAACCTGCGAGGGATGAAAGGAGGCCAAGGGGTGCTGCCACCCCCCACCCCCACCCAGAGGTTGAGGGCAGGCACAGGGGGAGGGGGGACGAACCGCCCTCCGCACGGCTGGGAATGATTTTCCACCTTTCCATTCGTTATGAAATATTTTTAATACCTCGGCGAGGTATTTGGGGGAGGCGTTGGGGGGAAGCGGCGGGGGAAGGCTGGGGGAGCACCTTCAAGAGCTGCATTTCTCGCACGAAGAAGTCAGGAGGGGGGAAGGGGTGCGGGGCGGCCGCGCAAGAAGCGCGCAACTTCGGCGGGGAGCGCGCAGGCAGGTCCGCCCGCGCGGCCGGGCTGGGCGAGCGCTAGATGGGAGTGATGCATGAGCGAGACGGGGAGGTTTTAACCTTCAGGGGGAGGAGCCCCGTTTAACTACAGGCATTTGTTCTAGGGCAGGTCACTTTAATCTCTTTAGCTTTAAACTGTCCAACTCACAACTCGCGTTTCTCTATAAGGGATCTTTACCACTTTCCTGCCTATGCGGCCGGACTGCCGTGCCTCTCCCCGCGCAGAGCCCGGCGGCTTCCAGGCTCTGCCCAGATCTCTTCTTCCGACACCCTTAAAATAATACTGTTAGTAATAAGTGGATTTGCTTTTGTTCTTTTTTTTTTTTTTTTTTTTTTGTTGTTGTTGTTGTTGTATTTTGTCGTGGTTTTTTTTTTCCCCTTAAAGAAAAAAAAAAAAAAAACAAAAACAAAAAACGAGAGAGAGAGAAAAAGAGAGAGAGGGGAGAGAAAAAAAAAAGCAAAAAAAAAAAGCTCCTTGTTCCTTTCTGTGTGGAATAAACACCTGCAAACTCCCCCAGGCAGCCCGGCGCCCCCGCCATGGATTCCTTTAAAGGTGGAATGAATTTGGAGAGACTGCCCGAGAGCTTGAGACCCCAACCCTCCCATGACATGGCTTCCAGCTTCCATTTGCAAAGATCCTCGGAGCCCAGAGACCCGATCGAGAACTCGGCCAGTGAATCCTCCGACACGGAGGTGCCAGGTAACCCCCCCGCGGCCCCTGCCCGCTCCCCCCGCGCCTCCCCCTTCCCCTCCGCGTTTTCCCTCCGCGGGGCGCTCGGCGGTTCCGCGCAGCAGCGAGCGGCGGTGTGGGCCGGGGGGCGGCTGTCCCCGCTGTCCCCGCTGTCCCCGCTGTCCCCATCCCCTCAGAACCCCGAGAAGGGACGAGAGGGACCGGCACAGAGCGGCTGTCACCCGCGAAGAGGACACTCGCGGCCTCCGAGCCCCATCCTAGAGCTTCTTTCGTGATTATTTTTCTTTCTCCTTCCCCAACTTTTTTTTTTTCTTTCTTTCTTTCTTTCTTTCTTTCTTTCTTTCTTTCTTTCTTTCTTTCTTTCTTTCTTTCTTTCTTTCTTTCTTTCTTTCTTTCTTTCTTTCTTTCTTTCTTTCTTTCTTTCTTTCTTTCTTTCTTTCTTTCTTTCTTTCTTTCTTTCTTTCTTTCTTTCTTTCTTTCTTTCTTTCTTTCTTTCTTTCTTTCTTTCATCTCTCTCTCTCTCTCTCTCTCTCTCTCTCTCTCTCTCTCTCTCTTTCTTTCTCTTAGCTCTTAGTTATTCAAACAGCGATCAATTAATCGCACCGAAGTGAACGGCGCTCTTCCTGGAGCGCGGTATTGCCAGATATTTCTGAAATCGTGTCAGTTCTGCCCGGGTTTATTTTGCAGCTCGGGCGGTGCGGACATGGAAAAAGTTTTTTTTCTGTCTGAGGAAGGGGGGAGGGAGAAAGAAAAAATATGGAAAATAAAAAATTCCCCGCAGAACGGAGGGAGCGTGGGGCAGAGCGGAGGGGACGTGCGCGGCCGCGGAGGACTTTGCGCAGGGGCTGCGCGATTTGTAGAGGCTCTCCGCGCCCTGACCTTCATGTGCGAGGGCTGCAGGGAAAGCTGTGGTTTCCCAGTTTGCATTTAATTGAAGTAGCAACATTTCCAGGGTGACGAGGGAAGCTAGGAGAGGGAAACAAAAGCTGCAGAAAGGAGCCCGATGGCCGTTCTGCTTTTCTCGGGAGGAGTTTCTCTCTCATTTCTCTTCACATTACTTTCCAAATAGATGTTGCTGCTCGTGTCGGTGTTAGCAGGTCCCGCCGCTGCAGCACGAGGCAGGGCCTGGCGGCACACGGCGATACGCAGCGCCGAGCTCCGCTCAGCAAACTGTGAGGGACCGGTGTCTGGAAGGGACTCCGAGATTAGAGGGGATTATTGGAGATTAGGGAGGGAGATTTGCTCCATTTTACCGTACCCCTCTATGTGACCCCTCGGTGCGGGGCAGGGCTGAAGACCTGCTGCTTTTTTTTTTTTTTTTTTTTTTTTTAATCTCCGAGGAGCTACGAAATACCTTTCACGTTCTCTTTCTTCCTGTATTATTGTTATTTATTTATTTTTAATGAGGGAAAGAAAAAAAAAAAAAAAAAACATAATAATAATAAGGCACAAATTCCAATTGAACCGAATGCTCTCTCTGTTTTGAAATGACACCGAGGCCCGAACTGAAGGCCGGGTTTCAGCTGAAATCACGGCGGGGCTGAACGCGGGGCCGCGGTCGCAGCTCTTCGTTCCGCGTATCCAGCCGGGTCCCCCCGCACCGCCGGGCCGGGAATGGGGACGGCGGCCCCGGGAGGGCAGGGAGGAGGGGGGGGGGGTGGAGGGGGGAGATGGGGGGGCTTTGCTTTCTGTTTGCTCGGTGGTCCAGCGACCGGGGCAGCTCTGGGCTGCTGCAGGCCTTGTTTGCTCTGCAAACCACTTAACTCCGGGAGAGGCCATCCGAGCTGCTATCGGCCTTTTCACCGCTTTGGGGTCTACGTTGAAGCTCTCTGTCCCTCCTTTTTATTCCGGAGGGCTTCCAGAGAGAAGGGTGACTTCTCCAGGCCGAGCCCCCCCGACCCCCTTCCCCCCAGCCCATCAGCCGCACGCAGCCCACGGTTCTGTTTAACGTCGCAGGGCTGCAGAAATGTCCCCACACCGCCGCCTGAGCCTGCGGGAAAGGCGCACAGCTCGGCCCGGGGGGAGGCGGACGGGCTGCGCTCCCGCGGAGTTTCCCTCGGGGCTGAAGTGCTCTCGTCCCGCAGCGGCACTGCGCGGAGCCCCGGCTCCCCTCCACCCTCCGTCCCCTGGCCCACATCGCTCTGCTTTTGGCCCTCGCAGCGCCGTTCCGACACGGAGCTCGGAGAGAAGCGAGGAGAAGCGTTCCGAAAGGTTCTGTCCCCCGCAGCCGTGGGGCCGGGAAGGATTCCCGCATTCCTGCTTCTATAGCGTGCAAATCCCGATCGCCAAAAACGCGACTGAGATTTTTGTTGTCGTTGTTGTTTGTGCTTCTTTCGAAACTCTTTTTTTTTTTCTTTTTTTTCTTTTTTTTTTTTCTTTTTTTTTTTTTTTTTTTTGTGCAGAGGGCTTTGCTCGACCCGGGGTTAAAATAAACAGTCAGGTCCTAAAAGCAGCGAAAGAGGGAAAGGGGGGAAAAAAAGAGAGAAAGAAAACAACAACAAAAAAAGTGGGGGAGTAAAGAGAGAGGGCGACTTTTGCAATTAACTGCTGCGGGTTTTACACCCCTGCCCTTCCAAAGTTTCCTGTCGCGGCCGAACACAACAAAGAAAACGGAGCAAAGATCGCGCCTTAGGGTTTAAAGGAGTAAAAAAAGTTGTCGTGGGCCGCAATGAGGGCGATGCCGCTGTTGTAATCCGCTCCTCTCGATCCCTTTTGCCCTTCAATCCGAGCCATGCGGGTACCGCGATCTCCCCGGTCCGGGCCAGGCTGCGCTTGGTGCTGCGGTGCCGGTCCCTATGGGTACCCCAAGCACGGCTGTAATGGGGCGGAAAGGGGGGGGAGGGGGGGGGGACGGACGACTGCCTTTGTGTGCGTGTTTTTGAGTATGAAACAAACAAACAAACAAACAAAAGAAAAGGAAAAAAAATGTATGAGAAAAAAACCCACAACCAATATATATATGTATATACCCAAACCCAAACATCCCACCGTAGAAAAAGAGAGAAGCGGAGAGCAGAAAAACGAGGACGGGGCCGCCGACGACCCGGCGAAGAAGAAGAAGCAGCGGAGGCAGCGGACCCACTTCACCAGCCAACAGCTGCAGGAGCTGGAGGCCACTTTCCAGCGGAACCGCTACCCCGATATGAGCATGCGGGAGGAGATCGCCGTGTGGACGAACCTCACCGAACCCCGCGTCCGGGTAAGATGGGCGCTGCGGGCCTCTGCTGGGCCGGGGGGAGCTGAGGGAAACGGCCCCTTTTGGGAGCGGGGCCGCTGTGGGATTGGTTTTGGTTGCTCAGATTGGTGGTGAGGTTGGAGAGGAGACATTCAGCTCCTGGCTGCGGAGGCGAATTAGGGCTGTGCCGGGCCTCATAAATGGGACGGTGGGACCGGGATGGGATGCAGCCGGTTTGTGGGGTGAGACTCTTCGGCTTGGCTCAAACCCTCGAGTCCTTTGCAATGTTCCGGTTATCCCCATAATCCCGGCAATAACGAGGACCCCCCCCCCCCGAATAAACCACCGCTCTGCGGCTCCTCAGGATCGCGGCTCAGCCCCCGGGATCCGCGCGGAGCGGTGCGGAGCGGCCGCGCATCCCCCGCGGGGCCAGCGCCGGACGTGGCTCCTCTGTTTGCGGGGCTGCCGGCAAAGCGAAGGACGGGGAGTTGGGGGAGACTGCCCTCCAAAGTCAATAGCACGACACGTTCCCGTAAGGCGGAGGCGCTGGGTCTTTCTACGGCTCCGAGCCGATGCCATCCGGGAATATATATATATATAGCCTCAGCGGTTATTTAGAGAGATTTACTTGCGAGATAGCGCTGCGATGAACAGCCAACGCGGAGCGGCTCGGGCTATATCGATTCGCAGCAGTTTTTCCCATCTCCGCTCGCCGTTTCCTCCCGAGATTTTTCCCTGCGTGGTTTCGGCCCCTCTGAGTCCTCACCAGGCCGGGGCCGGAGCAGAAATTCGGGAGAAAAAGAAAAGGGGGGGGTATCGAGAGTCACCCCTCAGCCCCGCGGAGCCCTTTCTGGTAATTAAACTCCGAGTGATCCAGTCGGATAGCAAAAATTCCGTCTAAAATCTTCCGAGAGTAAACACGCTCTCATCCGAAAGCATTGCACTAATTGCGTTCAAAACAAAACAAAACAAAGCCCGAGAGGAGACTGAACGGCATTAATATTGCTGGAATATTTCAGGAAGCAAATAAAACTAATATACGAGTGGCCATTAACATCATTTCGTTCTCCCTCTGTGCGGAGATGTTTTGGTTTGATGTTCTGAGATTGCAGATTGCAAATCTAACCTTAATTTGCTGTGAGGGCCTTCCTTTAAAATGTCTAGGAGCCATAATTAAAACTATTACCCTCATTTTCAGGAAATTCCTGTCTGGAAGCACCTTCCGAGGAGTATATTACAGGTTTTGAAAACGTTGGCTTTCGTTTCCTCTTTTTATTTAATACGGGATTCTTTTTATTCTTGTTATTTTTTAAACTGGCTCCGCCATCCCTTCTTCCCTCGTAGTTTGTTGGTGTCTTTTTTTTTTTTCCTTCCATCCCCATGAACGTCTGTGAAAGAGCGTTGCGCCATCGCTGCGCGGGGAGGGGAGGGCAGGGGCGCTCCGAGGGGCGCAGCCTCCGCGGGGCCGCGCGCAGTGAGGAGGGGGAGGCGGAGGAAGCTGAGAACCGAGAGCGGTGCTGCCGGGTTAAACTTGGGGAGAGAATTCGGAACCCGCGCTGCCCCAATCCCGGCCCGGCTCATGGCTCCCATCGCGGGGGGCTCAAAGCCTTTCCTAAAAGAAAAAGAAAAAAAAAAAAGAAAGAAAAGAAAATAGGAGAGAGAGCCTGGACCGGGTTTTTGCATCAAACACCAGGAGCGGCCCCTGCTCCTCTGTTTCCCAGTCAGGGCTGTAAATTCTCATTAGATATAAAGGCAGAGGCTGCATCCATCCAAGGGCCATGCAGGGACTGATTTTTTTTTTTTTTTTAAACCTAAACATACTAATCCAATCCCCTTTTTTATGATCTGTAACAGGGGACTTTTATTACACAGCATTAGCATTCGGAAACACGGCGGAGCCGGGGCGAGCCGGCCCTAATCAGAGCGGGCCGTGCCTTCTCCCCATGGCGAAGGGAGAGGGGCGGAGGGGGATGCGGACACCCGAGCACGGACGGCTGCGCGCAGCCCCGCTCGCAGATGCCGCTGAATATCGCCTGCACGCGGAGATGCGCGGACAGGGAATAGAGGGGCAGGGAGCGATGAGACTGGGAACGGTGGGACTGGGAGCGATGGGACTGGGAGCGATGGAGAGCGTGGGGAGGATGGGGACGTCTGGGCGGTGAGGGGTGGCCTGGAGCGGCTGCGCGCTACTTGCGCGCCTCTGCGCGGCCGGGAGCGCATCGTGCGCGGCGGGGCAGCTCTGACCGTGGCCTGTCCCTCCCTCAGGTGTGGTTCAAGAACCGCCGAGCCAAGTGGAGAAAGCGGGAGCGGAACCAGCAGATGGACCTGTGCAAGAACGGCTACGTGCCGCAGTTCAGCGGGCTGATGCAGCCCTACGACGACATGTACGCCGGGTACCCCTACAACAACTGGGCCACCAAAAGCCTCACCCCGGCGCCGCTCTCCACCAAGAGCTTCACCTTTTTCAACTCCATGAGCCCCCTCTCCTCGCAGTCCATGTTCTCGGCTCCCAGCAGCATCTCCTCCATGAACATGCCCTCCGGGATGGGCCACTCGGCCGTGCCGGGAATGGCCAACTCCGGCCTCAACAACATCAACAACATCAGCGGCTCCTCGCTCAACTCGGCCATGTCCTCGCCCGCTTGTCCCTATGGGCCGCCGGGCTCGCCCTACAGCGTGTACCGGGACACTTGTAACTCCAGCCTGGCCAGCCTCAGACTGAAATCAAAGCAGCACTCCAGTTTCGGCTACAGCAGTTTGCAGAGCCCCGGCTCCAGCCTAAACGCCTGTCAGTACAACAGTTGACGGACTTGACACGAACCGCCTCCGACAAACACCGCCGACAAAGGAAAAATTACTAAGAAAAAAAAAAATAAAAAATAAAGCAGAAACAAAGCGACGTTTAACGGAAATGAATATATATATGTGTGTGTGTGTGTATGTAGAAACCCGATGATGTGTAAAAGCAAAACCCGAGCAAGTGAGAGAGGGAAAGAAACAGCACAGACAAACAAACAAAAGCAAAATAATGGTGACAATAAGGATAATAATAAAACAAAACCCGAAAGCTCTGCGGACTTCGATTGTCTAAAAACAATAAGAATAATGCTGAATACAAATAAATAAATAAAAAGAGATCCGACGACACAACCAACAAAGCAGCGCTTTAAAAAAAAAAAAAAATACAAACCGATAGTAACCATTAAAAAGCAAACCATTAAAAAATTAAAAAATAATAATAATGATTAAAAAAAAAAAAACCGAAAAACGGAAACGGATCAGAAAACTTTTGCAAGAGACACCGAAATCTGGTACATGGATGAGTTGCAATTTTTCTCTGGATGATGCGGGTTGTATGTGTTTACTTGAACTTGCACAGGAGGTGGTAAGGCGGCCGCTCCCTGCGGCCATTGGGGGCGGCCCGGGGGTGAGATGGGAATGGGGGGGTGAGGGGGAGGGAGGGGGGAAGTTCGGGTGATGTTTACCACTGAGGAACGGAATCGCAGTCCAAAAAGGGAGGGGGGGGGGGGGGGGGAAGAAAAAAAAAAAAAAAGAAAAAAAGACTTAAAAAAAAAAAAAAGATTAAAAAATAAATTAAAAAAAAAAAAAGAAAGAAAAGAAAAAGGGAGGGGAGAAGAAAAATATAATTCGCAGAGTCGGTTCTGCGGGGGGAAATGGTTAAAATATTAGGTATGAAGCTATTAAAAATAATAATGACAAGGGTCAACCACTTATATAAGGTTATATTTATATCTGCCGTTACATTGTGCCGGATCATTGTCCTTGGCCGTTGAATAAACTGTTTTTAAAATGCATGATTCTCGATGTTTTTTTCTTTAGTTGGAAGCTATAATCCAGTCATTCCCGATCCTAAGCAGCTCCAGGTTCCTACCTCCTCGTCCTTTCCAAACGACTGCAGTATCCCCGCTCGCGAAGCGCAGACACCCTCCAGCGATGCGAAAACTCTCCAGCGCTTTCCCCATCCAAAAGTCTTATCCTGATAATGAAATTATCACCCGTCTTTATTTAAGCGCAGGCTCCGATTCTTCTTCTTCTTTTTGTTTTGTTTTGTTTTTTTTTTTTCTTTGATTTTTTTTTTGTTTTTCTCTCTTTTTTTTTTTTTAAAAAAAAAGAACTTTTAGAGAGTCTAAAGAAAAAGAAAAAAAGGCCAAAAAAGGTCTGTTATGAAGCGAATCCAGATACTGCATCTCTGCTTGAGAACGGTGAGCTTCGGAGTCCGGAAGGGTTGCATGGCAAAGCCGAAAGCGTTCCTCGCTTTTTTAACCTTGAAGGAAAAACCAAGGAACCAAAAACCAAAAGAGAAATCTGAAGGTGTTCCGATGTAAAATGTAGATAACTTTAACAAGCGCTTGTTGGCGAAAAAAAAGGGAAAAAAGAAAAAAAAGAAAAAAAAGAAAAAAAGAAAAAAAAAGGGGAAAAAAAAAACAAAAAAAAGGAAACGATAAATACGATCTTTATTAATACGCATATGAAGTTTAATTGCAGGCCTATTTGTTGCTTCTTTTTTTTTTTTTTTTTTTTTTTTTTTTCGGTACTCATTACCTGTAGATGACAAAGAAACGTTAATATAAAATGCACACACGGTACTTCTTTCCCAGTGTATTTCACACCTGTGGTAACGTTACGCTGGATGTTTCAGTTATGCTGTTGTGGATACGGATGCGGTATATATATTGTTTTATAAGTTATGTTTTGTGATTTTATTATTATTATATTTTTTTTTTTCCAAAATTAAAAGCATGGGAATAATAATAATAATAATAAAAAAAAAACATCAAAAAAAATCAAAAAACAGTTGAAACGAAATGTAAAAAATGCCTTTAATGTTCTTTTCTGGGTTTGAGAGATCGGCTGCTTAAAAGAAAAGATTTCCTCCATCCCTCCCCCTCTCCGTCCCCGCCCGGCGGTGGCATTTCGGGGGGGTCCCACCGCTTCCTCCCGTAACAGCGCCGTCCCCAGACCCCCGTCCCCGTCCCCGGGGAGGGCAAACAGCCCTGCGGCCCCCGGGAGCCCCCCAGCTTTACGGCGTCCTATCGCCGCTGCTTCGGCGGGGCGGTGGATGCCGGTGGATTTCTGTTCCTCCGGGTTGATAACCCCGAACGCTTGGTTTTTTTCTCCCTCAAAAGATTCAATCCTCGCCCCCTGAGGAACCCCCCCGCCGTGTAGCACAGCCCCGGGGCCGCTCGATCCCACGGAACCGTTCCTCCCGTTTTACCAAGGTGTGTTTCTCCCTTATTTCTCGGATTTCCCCGATATTCTCAATTTAAGGTTTTCTTTTTTCTTCCCCCTTCCTCCCCTCCCGAAGTTGCCCCAAGCCCCGCTCTCTGTTTTCACACCCGTTATCGTTCCGATGACATTTTGCCGAAAACGCCATCATTTCACCAAAACGAACCGAGAATTCCTCTGTCACAGAGCCGCTCCTGGTGGGGGGAGAAGGGGGGATGTGAGCTGCAGCCTGGCCTCACCGCGCCCCTCGGTGTCCTCTGGCAACGGGGGGACACTGAGGGGAACTGGGGGGCACCGAGCCCCTGCCCGAGCCCCTGGGTCCTCCTGAGCCTTCAGAGCTCCAGAGCTGGGAGTGAGAGGGGGTTTGGAGGGAGGGCAGCGGGCGGGAAGCTCGCGTTGTGTCTTATTGTAGCTGCAGGAGCATGCACATCAGGTCAGGAAAATTCCTGCTTTTCCCGTCCTCTTTCCTTGGGGGGGTGGGGGGGGGAGGGAGGGGAGGGTTATCTGAAAGCCCTCCGCTGTTATTTCAGCCTGGATTGGCTGTATTCGTTTTTCTCGTGTTCCTGGAGGTAGCACTGTTAGCCCTAAATCAGGGCAGCGGCTGCAGTGCTCGCATTCAGCCCTAATCCTGCTGCCAGAGCCCTGAAACCCCCCAAAATTCAGCTCGTGTGTGAGAGCCATGCAGCTGCTGGGGTCTCTGCAGCCACCACCACCATCTCCCCCCACTGCCATGTACCAGGGGAAGCTCAGCCACCTCTGTGAGAGGGAAATGTGGGCTTCTCGACTCGTTTATGGCTCAGAGAAAGGAAAATTCCAAGTAGACACTGAACAGAAAGCACCTCCTACACCTTCCCCGTGCACATTTATGGATGTCCTGCTTCCAGCAGCCTTCAGGTCTCCCCCGCAATGGTTACAGCCAAATTAATGGGGAGATTTGGTGGTTTTGAAGCATGGAACCTCCTGTCCAAACACAGCTTCTTTAGGGATGTCCTCAGAGGACATCTCTGCCACAACCCAGGTGTGTGCCCAACCCCGGGGGGGACATCATTAAATGGTCTCTGAGCCCCCAAAGGGCTGTGCCCCATACACAACTCCCTGCCTCGCTGCTCTTTGCTTGCTGGTTTTCAAGCTCCCATCACCAGGGCCGTGTTGTCGCACACCGGAGGCGATGCTTTTCTCACCCTGCACATTCCTACAAGTGGTTTCCAGTGCGGGAAGCTCGTGCTGAAGCTGCATCACTCCATCCCTAGTGGGTCTCTGTCTTTGGCTGTGCCGTGGGGAGTCCCAGAGCTCTGCTCGCCTCCCGCAGCCTCGTGTGTGCTGAGGGGAGCGGATGCTTGGAGCTCGAGAAAGAGCTGAATCAAGTTTTCCATTCGTTCTGCGCGTGCTGGCTCACCTAATAGCATTCCCAAGGCCGAGCTGCCTGGGGAGCACTCTGCATACCTGCCTAGGCCGTGGCTTGGCGTGGGAGCCCTGCATGGGCTGAGTGGTCCCAAAGGCTGCTGTGCTGCAGAGGCTCCTATTGCATGCAGTCCACAAAGCCCCAGTGCCTCAGACTGTGCTGTTCGTTCGAGATTAAATGTCTTCTAATAAAAAGCTGTGGTCAGTTTAACTCCGCGCCGCATACTTCTCTTTATCTGTGGCCTGGAACCAGGCAAAGTATGCAAAGTCCCATTTAAATTAATGGGATGCTTCAGTACTGATTTTAATGGGATTTTGTATAATAAAAATAACACCCTAACATTTTGCTGCAAACTCGCAACAAAAGTTGCTGGGACTGGGATAATAAAGTGCAGGCTTTATTTGGAACCTCTGAAGGTTTTGTCATTAACTTCAATGGCACCATTTCAGGCCTTATTATTTTAGTTTACCAGTGTGTAAGTAAAAATTACTTTACCAATTAAAAAGGATCTGTGACAAGTTTTCTGATCCATTCTGGCGACTCGTAGGTGGACATTTGGTTTGGTATTATCCAACCAGCCAAGCAGCTCAGACTCACAAAGTACACAGGGACAGAGAATAAATAAAAATAAGAGCTGCACATTCTTTCTGCTAAACGAGTTTGCCCGTCAAGCAATGTGAAGTTGTTACTTGCAAGAAATACCTCCGATTCCTTCTTTTAATCTAACCGAGCGAACAGCTTTCTGCTCACCCCCATAGAAAACAGTAAAAGCCTCCTTCAAAGTGAAATATGTTTTAATTAACAGAGCTGCAGAGTAAAATCCACGCAGCTCTCCTCCGCTGCAGCTCGCTGTTGTGCGGCTCCCATTAACAAGCTGCAGGCTTCGCGCTGCGCCAAACTGATTAACAGGAGGCTGCGGGCAGATTTTCTATCAAAAATGCCCCAGCAGCAGCCAGCCCGTGCTTCTTTGTTGCTGTTGTTGTTGTTGTTACAGGAAAGAATCATTTGTTTATCCCCCAGCTCTGATTTATCTAATGAAGAAAGCATAGGCACGGCTTTAAGAAAAGAACGCGCCAACGAATGAAAATAGGAAATTAAAATTTAAAAAAAAAAAAGGGAGGGGGGGGTTGGGGGGGAAATAATGAAAGAACATCCGCACTTGGATTTTTTCCTTCTTCACCCAGGCGATTTCTTGCAAGAAAGCACCAAACACCGCCGGGACTCGGCGAGAGGCGAACCGATTTGCTCCCAGCTCTTCCCAGGAGGTCGGCGGAGCGGAGCAGACGCGCTGTGCCCACGGGCGAACCACACCGATGTAAAGGAGCCGCCCGGCAGCAGCTCCTCCCGACACCTCTGCGGGCGCAGCAGCGGCAGCGCAGCACGGCAAGCAGCGCCCGACCCGCGCTCCTCATTCGGGTCCCGCATGGCAGCATCGGGGCTTCCAAAAAATCGCTGTGTTAATATGCAAGAAACAAAAATCTGCCTTAGTGAGAGCGGGGACAAAGTAGCTGCCGTCCCACAGGAGCGCCAAGTAATTTATTTTACAGGCTTCAAAGTGATACCTGCCCGGGTATAGGAGATTAGCAGTGGGATTTTCAAAAGCCTTACGTGAGTGAGGAGCAGATTTAAAAAAATGATGCAGTGAATCAGTGCTGGTGTGAGATTTTCCTAGAAGTGAGTTAGGCACCTGGGATTTAGATACTAAGAGTGAGACTTTTAGAGGGATTTAGATGTCTGAAGATACAGCTGAGCACACAGTGGGATCTTTAT